GGAAGCTTCTTTGAATCAGAAAGGGTCAATGTAGTATGTAAGGCTAAATTTTCAGAGCAGTTACTGCATGTAATGAAAACACAAATGTCTAGCTTGAGCAGTTAAAATGATTGATGGTACTACTGATGGTACTAGCAATGATATTTGAATAGCTTAGCTTTTAGAAATGCAAGAATGTACATCTACACAAGCGGGGTTCAGTTTTCTTCAGTATTCACCGTATGACACATGCACTGTATGGTAAAGTCCAAAAATGCTCTCTAGTCTTAAAAAACAAGTTTGGATATACTGAATATCAAGCAGTTATTAAAGGGTAATTGTGGCAGCATAGGACTACTCTTTAGGTAATTTACATCAAGATGTTTCAAACAAGGACACACATTTACAAAGTGGCTTAAAAACATTTAAAAGTAAGCTATATACATATTTAATAAGCTTGTTTGCCACTTCTACCACTCTTCAAAACATGCTCAGAAACAAAACAAACAAATCGCTCTTCCTTTAGCAGCTTTCTGAATGTCTCATAGGTGAGATCAGGACCAGAATCTTGGGGTGGGAGAAAAAGGAGCTTCCTTCCCATCTCGAAGCTGTTCACATAACAGGGATCATTATATTTAGTATGTATTTTGTGTAGTGGTGTGATGTTCTCCAGCAGTACATTAGAAGAGTCTGGGACTACTCCATGCCTGGACAAGGACGTCCCACCAGTGTTGCTGTGCTTCTCTATTGGTAGTTTGCAGTAATCCAGTTATTGGGCTTTGTCCATGTTCCAGAAAGTCTGAGCACTTTCTGTTGAGTTAACAAAGAAAAAAAAAGAAATTTAATAAAATCAGGGACCCTCCAAAATTACAATATGGGTTTTGTGCTGTGGCTGCTTATGCCATTTAGTTGAATTGTTTCTGATGCTTCACATATCATTTTATTGCTACTTTAGCAGCTTACTGTTTTCAGGATTTGAAGGCAGAAAGTTAAGAATTAAATGTAGGTTTTAGTTGAAATATTTGCTTATTGTTATTCCATACTCCCATCTAGCCAGTGCTCTTGAAAGTAACAACAAGGAAAATGCAGTCATTTTTCACCATCACCCATGCACAGTGAACTGTAGGTCTGTGGCATTCTCTGGTCTTGAATAGGGAAGATTATTTTGTTTTCTGTCCTCTCGAATTGCCTTTTCCCAGCAGATTTTTCAGGAATGAAGAAAGCAACTTCACAGTTGCTTGTGTGCGATCTGAGACTCCCTTCAAGTGGTGGTTTTTTTGGATGTCCTCCACAAGAGATTCATCTGTATGGGTACAAGTAAGGCAGAGATGGTACACTGCTTTATTGCTTTCGCCATTTATGCTCTGGTGATGAAATGGAAGTGAATTTTTGACTATATATATTGTGAAGTAGTTTCTGGGGCGCTTAGGGGAGCTCAAAGGTTTTAAGGCACTACATAATGTTTTTTCAACATGTTTGCATTCAAGGCCCAAGAAGCAGGTGATTCACAGTTTACTTCTAACATCAGAAAATAATAATTGCAGTGCTGTGAGATGTATGATTACATTTTCTAGACTGAAATCTTCTATGCTTAGAGTGGAAGTCTGGCATATTTTTGGTTGATGACTAGGGTAAACTAACTATAGCTGGCAGATGGATTCCCTCTTCCAATGCTCTCTCCCCTAGCAGAATTTTACTTATTTTATCTTTTAGTTATAATGTGCTAAAAGAAGCATTTCTGCAGTAAAATCCTTTAGGGTAGACAACCTGTATTTGATATCTTCCCATAATGAACTTAACAGTAAATACACAGCAAGAGTTCATTTATCTAACTTGCTTTATAACCATAAAAGCAGAGTTCTCAGGAGAAAAGGTTTAACCGCTAAGTCTGGATTGGTTTTAAGGATCAAAATAGAAGTATATATATTGGTCTTCTGCCCCAGTGCACATAAGAATGGAACTGTTGTAAAAACTGGTGGTCTTGATATGACATCAGGCATTTGTGCCCATGCAGACCACAGAATGTCCACTCTGATTTCCAGACCAGTGAAGAAGCAAGGAGTGAATATAGCAGTCATAACTTAATAGAATATATCCACTCTGAATTAAAGAAAAAATGTTCAGAACTACTGTTACTCAGCTAGCTACTATATAACAATATTCAAGTCCTTTACATTTTAAATAAAACCTACAAAAATACAAGTTCCAATCTTTAAAATGAGTTAGGCATTTGGAGCAGTGGGACTAAAGATCTGAAGTGTCTTTTGGAAATGAGATTTCCAGAAGATCCCCGCTGCTAATTCAACAAGAAGCAGCCCCCTCCATAAGAACAGCCAATATATGAAAAACTATGTTTAGTAATGTCCAAAATGTGCTTGGGTATTCTTTCATTGGGTATTACAAATTCTAATCAGCAGTACATATTTAAATAGATGCAGAATCATAGAATAGTTTGGGTGGAAGGGACCTTTAAAAGTCATCTAGTCCAACCCCCCTGCAATAAGCAGGGACGTATGTATTACTGAAATTAGAAATACTTTTCCTGTAGTCTGTGAAAATGAAAATCACTTGCTGTTCTTTGTGGACAGTTATTCTGTTCAAGAACGCATAAGGAAATACCTGACGAACAGAAAAAACCAAATAATATGTTTCATCTGGAATACAAATAGTATACAGTACAGCTTTTCCTACATGAAAACAGGTGCTCTAAAAAGAACTAAAAGGTGTTCAAAAAAGGAAATTAAGATATGGCAAAGCACAAAATAGACTGTGCTGGGTGTGGCAAAGTTGAAAGGAAAATCATGAAATTACACTGGTTTACAAAAGGCAGGAGGCTTTGTAGAGGGTGAGGAGATGGGGCAATTGAAAGGTCACATTCGAAAGTGATAAATCATGTCGTATATGTATTTTCTTATTAAATTTATAGAATTGTCAAAAGGGTCTTGCTGAAGCTGTGTAAGATGATTGTATACATGTTCAAGATCTCTTTTAGATAACATTAAGTAGCATTTATACATATGCTTGTTAACTGTGTGGACAGGATTTGTAAATCCCATCTGTAATCTAGATGGGTAATCCATCTGTAAATACCAATTTTTATCTACAAGGGACTGAAATGAGTTCATCCCAATCTGTATCTGCAGGGTTTCTTGCATCTGCTTCTTACACATCCATTGCAGACAGGAGGATGAACTTGATTTTTTTGAGATCATCTAGTCAGATATTTATGTATTCTTGTGCCTGCAGTGGACATTGGTTCAGTAATTTGAAGTCTTATTTCAAGACATAAGGGAAGGCTTCAGTCCATGCTTTCGGTAAGAGAGAACTGAGTGAAACGCCTGTTCAGTATTGAAACTATAGTCCAAGGATGTTTTCACTTTAACAATCAAACCTTGAATTTTTGGCACATCAAGAAAGATGTTTGTCACATTTCAGTGTGGTATGACCCAGATTGATACTGAAGCGGAGGCAATGATCACAAGGGGCAAAATAGGTATCAATTCAATCTGCATCTTTCCATCCTTATTTCTGAATCACATATAGCAATATAGAAAACTTGTCTTTTTTGCCTTTTCCTAGACTGGGTTTCAAAGCCAGCCATAGAAATAGTGTTTTTTCATAGCTGCTGCTATTGAAACAAAGAGCAAAGATAGATCAGTTTTTCTTCAGATCTTTTTTTTTTTAATAATTCCATGTGTGATACTTTTTTCCCTTTCTGTTTTCTAAACAGTCACACTAACATAAAGGTAGCCTGTTGTTCTCTCTGACGATTGATGCTTTATAGTCCAGGAGCTTGAAATACTTTACACACTTTTTTTTTAACATATATATATGTATGTATGTGTGTGTATATATATGCGCACAAACACACGCTTTCTCAGTCATTAACTCATTTTTATCCTTTTTCATCTCTCCAATATAATAATTTTGTGGTTTTAATATCTTTTGAGCATTCAAGGAGCAGCAGTAACGTAAAGCATTCAGCAAGAGGCAGAGCAATGTGCTCTATGCACCATCGGGCAGGAAAAATATTGCAGCATAGGTGATACCATACTTTGTTTCATATACGGTGGACTACATGAACCCTGCAACTGTGTGACTCTTTTCCCTACTATATCATCTTAATACTACTTATCACTGTGTAACATTCATATTTGAGGCAATTTCTTTACTGTTATAAATTGTTAGGGTCAAATAAGAAAAAAGCTGAGTATAGACTAGAAAGAGGTGGCTACTGAAGATCCCCTCCTCAAGTGTAGGAAGAAGTATTGCTAAGTGTTTCTGAATCATGTGCTCCCTGGACAACTGAGTAACACTGACTAGCTTTACACAAAGAGACAATAACCTACATCTTTTCAGCTATAGAACAGGATGGTGTGGCATGACATGTCCCTGTGTCAAATGGCTGTTCACCCCCTGTGCTCAGTGTCAGAACAGTTCATGAAGAGAAGCTTCTGAAAACTGGAATACTAATGGAGCAGTGAACTCTCCCACAGTCGCTGCCTGCTTGGGGTGCTGGCAGTAAGGAGGCAGCAAGGTGCCTAGATTTAACAGTTCTGACTTGAATGCCTGCTTGGGACCTAAATCTGGAGTACCATAGGCATGAATTTCAGAAGTGACAACCAACTCCACATAAAGTAGAAAAGATTTCAGTGATGGTGATCAGATTTTTTATTTTTTTTTCCTAAAAAAACATTAGCTTTGTTACTATCTGGGCATAGCTAGTTTAGACAATTTGAGGGGCTTCCTCTATGACAGGATGGCAAAAAAACCCCAAACGTAGTATGACTGGAGCTTTGATACTGTGTTGATAAATACTCAAAAAAATGTGGTAAATAATCAGGTATTTATTAATACCCTGTGAGGAAGAGAAGTAAAAATTTAAAGCTGACATTAATTTTTGAGAACTGACTAATCCCCCAGTAGGTGATCCTTCATTTCTGATTCAGGTAAGATTCTGACACTTTAACCAAGTCCTTAACTGTTTTTTGTTTTTTTTTTTTCCTCCCTTTCCATGGTAGGTTATGTGTTCTGTATGTTACATCGCCTGCCTGAACAACATGACTGCACGTTTGACCACATGGGACGTGGGCGTGAGGAAGCCATTATGAAAATGGTGAAACTGGATCGGAAAGTAGGGAGATCTTGCCAACGCATTGGCGAAGGATGTTCCTGAGTGCAAGACTGCAACCAAATGCTGTTCTCTTAGTTCACTAATGTTAGCCTTATTTAGGACAAAGTCAGCCAGACACCTTGTACTAGGCAAGTTTCAGACTACAGCCAATCAGTTTCCTTTCTTTAGCCAACCGTCCTGGTACTGTAGTTTAGGGGTTGATGGTGGTTGAAATTGATTTCTGGCTGGTTACTAAGGTGCCTGCTAGCCACCGTATAAAAATAAAACATGAAGAAATATTATTTTTGAGCATGGCTAGTGGATTTAAACAGAACAAGAAAAATCCAAAGGCTTCTGTTATTGCTGGAGTCACTCTAAAAGCCTTACGCTGGAAACATTCCAGCTGCAGAGTTAAAACAAATAGTTGTATAGAAGCTGGTGTAAAAGTCTGCTATGCACTTGGCTTTCGGACAAACTGTTTAATGTGCAGCCTTTCACCTCTTCACTGCTAGTGAATCCTGAGGAGGTGAAATTCTACTAAGAGCAGCAACTGCAGCTGCTTAAGCCCAGAAGACCTGACTGGTCACTCGTGCCTTCATCGCGTGTGGCTTTTGAGTTAGGCAGTGTCACCAGCATCAGGGATTCTGTTGGGGTAGGAACATCTTTCTGGTTCTTCCCAGGAAGCCAAAAAGAAAGGGGGACAGAGATTCTTATGAAAAATTTTTATATCTATCTTACTATAAAGAACCTATCAGGGTTGTGGGTTGTTTTTTTTTTCTTTCTTTTCAGTTAAATTATGATCTCACTTTAAAGCCAACTCCATCCCAGAGCAGTAAATGGTGCATACTTTTTACATGGCATCCACAGAGATTCTACAAGTTGTGTGAACAGATTCCACATACCTTGAGCAGTGCAGCCATTCCCACTGGCCGAAACCTGATTGGCTCTTGTTTGCCTTTTGCTAAGTGCAGGTATCTGATAATTGATCAAATAAGGCTAATTCACAGCACAGTAGCCATGGCTGGATTCTACAGACTGACTTTCTGTAGCTAGACTTATATACTGGGGAAAAAAAAAGGACATTTTGTAGCAAATGGAATTCAGTAACAGTATTGGGGAACAACCGGTAAAACACCCTTTTTCAGACTGAGTTTGTGTTCCTCACTTCCAGAGTGTCAATGCGATAATCACATGGGCTCTATCAATCAGCCCTGTTTCTATGCAGCTGAACGCTCTCATGAAAATCTCTGCCCACATCTATTGCAAAGCAAGTATAGCAAGTGAATGTGAAAAGCATTACATGGAGTAGAATGTTTTGGCTTTGTTTAGACCTATGGTTCTGTGTTATGGTATGTCATGTTGAGCTGAGCTGAACTGAATTGCGCCAGTCTTGTCAGTTTGGAAACAAAAAAGCAAACATAATAATCGGCATGTCTCCTGCTGCACACAGGGCTTATGCAGGTAAAAAAGGATTCGTATCGATGTGGCCCAGCTTAAGCCTAAGTGAATTTAGCTTCTCAGTGTATTAGTAAGGTTTTAACAATCAGGTAAATTTGTAAGAAAATCTGAGAAAGGGAAAGATTTTGTCTCCCCTTGAAATACTGGGCAGATAGATAGAAAATGTCAGAGGAGTGAAGTAATGTGTCACTTGAAAAACCCCAGGGTTTTGGGAGTAAGCTCCTATGAGTCATCCTCCATTCTACTCGTTACAGGTAATTAACTCCTTATAGGCCAAATTACATTGTTGCTTTGGTAGCCAGCTAGGAACATTTAACAAGGAGACTACTAATTTAAAGAAAAAAAGAAAATATCTATGTCTCCCCACACACAAACTCAGCATCTGACTGTATTAGCGTTAATTAACCATGAAGCAAATCAGAAGTGTCCCATCATCATAAAATGTAAGCTATCCAAAAGGCAAGCTGGGTTTTTTTATTATTGTTATTATTCAAGAATATGAAACCAGCAGCAAAATCTTCTGTAATGTGCTGCATTTTCAGGAAAGGGTCCTGGTGAGAGGGACTGTCCAAGGATATTATTTACATTTGCCATGAATTGTTCAAAGAAACATGGATTTTGGTGGCTGCTGTGATACGCACTTTTTTTTCTCTACAAAATCCGACATAGCATTTGATGGGCATTCTGATTGATACGCAAGACTTCTCTGCATTAATACTGAAGATGCTATTTTGTTCCTCCTTAATATTCTCTTTAATCTCGTTACAAGTGCACAGATGATTTCAAGGTGGCTGTTGAGAGAACACTACTTAAAGTTCATGTGAATTATGGACAATGTTCACTTTAAACAAAAAAGTTGGGGAGGGGGTTGTTCCTTTGCAGTATCTGTTCTGTGAAGTTTGTTAAACGTAAAGAAAGCTTAAGTTCTTGTATCTTAAAAGAAGATCTTATTTAACCCTTTTGTGTTCTAGATTTACTTACACATGTAGCCTAGAGCTCAGTTTTAGTTTAACATTGTGAAAATATTAAAAGAATCTTGTAACTTTATTCTTTTTCCTCCTGCTAAAAAAAAATTAAACCAATCAGATTAAAAGTTTGAATTCCTTTCTGCCTATTCCAACAGGTCTTGCTATTTTGCACCATTTCTGCTGCAAGTTCATGTAAGAAATATGAATGGGGCAAATACCAACATCAGGCCAGTAACTTCAAGCTGAATTTAAAATTGGTGGAAGGTGGGCACTATTTTCTGCCAGTTTGGAAGGGGGCATAATATTTCTGCTGGGTTCAAGTCTAGTCATATATTTTGTAAGCAAATCTGGCCAAGTCTACTGTAGCCTGACTATTGGTTAATTTAATTTTGAAGTTAGATACAGTAGTCAAATGAACAAGTTGTTCATACTCTTAAGTCAGTCAAGTGCATACTGTGCGCTATGTCATTGGCATCAAAGTTTTAAAAGGTTTTAAATGTTCTTTCATGCATTTTGACAACTTCTGCACCTAGAGGGGCTGTATTTGTAATGGATAAGTAGAGGACGAACTATTGTTTCTTAATCACTTAGATGCTAGAAACACAAGGCTAATCAAAAAAGAAGGGAATGTATTAGAGAGAGGAGCAAGGTGACTATTTAAAAACAATTTTAAAAATCCTCAAATTAATGTGATACTTTCAATTATAAAACCGCATGTGATTCTTGAACAAGATGGCTGTGCTATATAGTAAAGGTAAGTTATATGAAACAGCTCTGCCTTTTCATCAAGTTTCAAACCTATGGTCAGGGCTTTGAGAAAAATAAGAATTGCCCTTGAAGGTTGCTGTGCCAGAGCCTGTCCTTAATTGCACTGTTTTCTGTTTTGAAAAGGTTTAGTGTCTGAATGAGAAGCAATGTTACCTGTAAAATGAGGTACCTGAGAACATGAAGTACTCCTCAGTAGTGCACAGGCCAAGACCCTGAAAAGAATCCTGGTGCAATTTTTGCAGTCCAAAAGTAATGCTAACTGCTTGTATTTACTCCATGGAAGGCGATACCTTCAAAACTTGAATTTTGCATTACTTTCTTTTGGACAAGTTGTATGCCCCTGGCCTCTTGAACACTTTGTAACTTTGTACTCATTGTGATGTTTGGTTCATTCTACAATCATAGCGGTTCCTTCTGTGACTATGCTCCAGCTTAGGGATAGAAGTGTGCTTTTTTCTTAATCTTACTACGCCTATTTCAGTACAAAAACTGTCCAGGAAAGAAGGTTGATACTAATGGTGTCATAAAAATACAGGTTTTGTAATAGATTCCAAGAAATGCAGCACCTATGCTCACAGTTGATGCACAGTTAAGTGCCCAGACAAATGAATTAACATTCTCTTTGTTGTAATGCAGTTACTGAAATTGACAAGTCATCAATAGAACAGCAAAGAGAAGGTCTAATCCAAGTAAGCCCTCAATGCCACAGTGAGACTGTAGCCAGTTCATGCTGGAAATAATTTTGTATGCTTCTGGGAATTTTTATACCTAGAAAACAAAGAAAATTTTAAGGCAACACTACTTAAAATTAACTGTATTTATTGGCACCAGATGTTTATTTCATCACTCAAATACCTGATTAGAATTCTGCACACAGAACAAAAAAAACAGAAGGATGAGTGAACTGTGGTTCAACCCAAAAGCTGCTGTGGCAGGAGTACTGCTTCTGTTCTAGTGTAAACAGTACATAATCTTATATTTAGCAGAGACTGTGTCTGTACAAAGACTAGTAAAGTGTCTCTGCTACACAGAGGCCCACACTGGAAAAACAGTTTAATCTTAAATTGTTCAAAAAGTTCACATTTTACATGGTGAATTTGGGAAATGTATCAGCAGCTTTTCCAGGAGAACAAACCTTAATGCTGCTAGAAAGAGCCACTCTTAAATAACAGTTCTTAAAGACATCAGTGAGAAAAACATATTTTTCTTTCCCTTCCTAGTCTTCATTCATTTTTTCTTTTTCCTGAGGCAGTCAGCATGTGCAGCTGGGCATTTAAAAGTAGTTCCGCTTGAATGTTGTTCTTTTTTGCTTTTCAGTACTCACCACAGGGGAAAAAAGCATCAACTTTGTTCTTCTTGCACACCCCTGCACATTAGTTCAAGCAGACTAAAATACAGATGTTAGTCTATAGAAGTGACAGCCTCCTTGTGCATTGTGATAAGTTTCAGTTAATTGAAGAAATAGCCTAACACAGACATGACTGACTTGTTCTGGATGTTAGGCTGTGGGTTTTTTGAACTTCAATTCTGTGATACTGTTTGTATACACCTTCCCATAAACTCTTAACTGCCTCATCTTTCAGTCTGAAGTTGAGCCAGGAGGAAAGAAGGCATGAAAGCCAGAGGCAGAGGATGCAAATTGACAAGTGCTTACTGAGGACATCCACCTTCCTTTTCAAGTCAGTTCAGATCATAAAATGGTAAAGAGGCAAATAATTACTTGCCAAACAGCACCAACTTTCTTGACTTGGTACTACAGAAAACTGTTTTGCTTTATCTTTGTGAATATACCTGTGTAGATTTTGTCTGAGTCAATTCTGCAACATACGTTATATGCAAAGAAATGAAACAGGACTGTCATAGTTAGAAAACATTTTTGATGGATTATTTAGTAATAACTACATATTTTGCTACAGGACCTTCCTATTTTGCAATATGCTGCTATTTTCTTTGGAAGAAAAACAAGCAGAACTTTGTAAGACTCACTGTAAACAATTTCAAATTCAATACATGCATCTGAAGCATTAGGAAAAGATTACTGAAATTATATATAGTTTTTAAAGATGATGACTGCATCTTCTAACAAAAGCGTTTTGTTCTTCAGATAGTAGCAAGTGTTAATAGCAATGGTTTAACCATAAGCAGAATGTTCCTTTCTGCTAGGTTTGTGCAAAGCTAATAACATGCAATAGGATGCTGTGAGTTAATAACTTGTAGCACGGTGCAGTGACTGTGTAAGTAATGAGAATAAAATCATAGACACCTACTCTTGTCTGTTGGCTCTCCCTTCACACAAAAGGAAAGAAGATGGCACCCACTGTTTCCTTGTTGCTTAATCCCTTTTATTCTTTTCTGAGTTGCAGAAGACACTTACCTTCCTTCTATCAAGCATGCTCAGGGAGGATGGAAAACCACATTCTAACTAGAGTTTTAACTATCTATTTTTTTTTAAAAAAACCCTGAAGTGTTTGACACTTCTGAAAGCAAAGTGTTGTATTCTGCCATATCAGAGATGCAACACCACAAGGAGCTCTTTAGGGTTCTCAGCACACTTGAAAATGCTGGGGTTTTTTCCTCTTAAATTGTTCAGGGTCTCTTTGAAGCAATCTTTAATGCTGTGCCTTTTTTTTTGTATCATCTTTTGAAAGGAAGGCCTGCACTATCAGCACTTCTGCATTAAGCAAGCTAAATGCAAGGTTCATTGTTAACTCTGAAAAGTAGAGATTGAGACTAAGCATTTCAAAAGGAGCAAATGCATGCAAAACTCTTACAGGAGGGAGAAGAGAATCTGAGTCCTCTGCTAGATAAACTAAATTCAGAGTTCATTGCTAGATAAACTAAATTCAGAGTTCATTCTAGCAATAGTTTGGGTTTTGTTTGGTTTCTTGGTTTTTTTCTTTCTTTCTTCTACAGTGTTTAAAGTATACTACCTTGGCTTTAGATTCCTGAAAGCTTTAGCCAGACTAGTTTCTGGAAATGTCTTGTAACATACTACATTTAACAGCAGCATGAGGAAGATGATAAGCTCCAAGAAAAACTTTAAGCTGACCACTGTTGGCTAGCACAACTGTTCTTGTCCACGCTAGAGTTTTACGATGATGGCTAGCTAAAAATGTGTTAACTGATCCAGCCCTATCAACTTTGCATGAATCCTGCTCCTTTGGATAGTCTGTCACACACACAACACAGGTAACAGAGGTGTTACCTTTATTCTGTCTGCATACAGACTTTCCCCTTCATTTACCCCCATGTTTCTATAGATTAAAATACTAATCAGGTAAGCAGCAGTTAGTTATAAAGTCTATAGCTCTCCAAGTCACACAGCATACCCATTATTTTCTCTTTCTGTTTTTGACTTTGGTCTTAGGTCTTGTCAAAAGTAATAGTTCCAAACAGATCTCTCTATACACAGACACGTACACACACCCACATCTCTCCTGGAACATCAAAGGGCTGAAGTACAATTACACTGCTGAACTAAAGCCAGCTTTCACTATCTGCATACCCACATACATATAATCAGTCCTTGTCTGGCTTGTCTTCTGGGGAAGTGTAGCATGTCCCAATATCTTAATGTGCCTGTTTAATAGTAGCTGTAGTTTAATCTTTAGTAGCTACTATAGATTTAGTCCTGGAAGCATCATTATGCTCATTTACAATTACATTAAAAATATGCCCCCCAACAGCTGAGAAGCTTGAGTGAACACTAACAGTTGGGTTACTGATATTTTTCAATAGTGTGACTCATGCTAACTCTGAAGGGATGGGTGAAGGGTGCATGTGTGTGCGTAGGTGTAGCAGGGTCAACTAGGTGCTGCTGACCATATTCTAGCTACTACCTTAATAAGCAATACTTTGCCTCAGTTTGAGGTAGCAGCCCCTGCTAAATTAGTGGGAGCAGGGAAATAGGTGCTATTTAAAACTTACTACCTGATACCTCTGTCGGCCTCTGTTCTAGCTCCCATACAGGCCTTCACTTCTCTACTCCCTGGCTTCTCCACTTGCTGTAATTTCCACAGGGTTTCTCCATTACACCTTCTGCAAATTCTCCCTCATCAATTACAATGCTCCCCCCCCAACTGTCATGTTCAAAGACAGAGGCTGAGGCTATGTGAAGACAACATAACAGTAGAGATGATCACATCTAGTGGTACTGAGGCTTGTATTGCCCATAGCTGTTTCCATCTGTAATGGAAATGTTATTTTCAAGTGTTAAATGACTACTGTTATTTAGTATATGAAATTCCTGGAACTGTCTTAATATGCTGTAGAAAATAACATTAAGGCTGAGTTGTAATTCCAGTTTAAACCCCTTCTTCATTGCTCTTAACTTTCTCTGTGGACTTTCCCATTACAGGGAACCTTAGGGCTAGCTTGA